CGCCTTTCCCGGGGATGGCAAAGATGACCTTATTTTCTCATGATTTTGTTTTTATAGAAAAGTAGTTCATCAAATACCTCATTAAATGCAATTTTACTTTGAGATTTTCCTAAGAAATTGCATATGCTTAAATAAAAAAAACCCTACCTCTGTTAACATTCATGTATTCATTCATCCAATTCATTCAATAAGAAGTTAAATGTTAGTGACTCTTAGTTCCAGATACTGTCCTAGGCAATCAAGTTTCAAAAGCTGGGTGTGGTGGTACACATGCCTGTAGTTTGAGCATAGGTGGTGGGTGTGGGGATGCTGAGACACGACAGGCATGAATTTAAGTTCAACCCTAGCTACAGCGTGAGACATTGTCTTAGAAAAAGAAAAAAAGAGCTGATAGATAGCCTTGGACCTTAGGAAGTCCATGGTCTAGTCAGGTCAACCAATCCATATACTCATAATTAGAATTTGACAACATTCATAGACTGCAAGAAGGGTTTTCAGGAATATATATATCTAACTCTATATATATTAGGATACATATATATATCAGAATTAGGATTATATATATAATATATAATATTAGAAATATATATATCCTAATTCTGATTGATGAAACAGTATTTCAGAGGACACGTATTCTAGAAAATACCAGTCCCAGAGTTTGAGACCAACCAAAAGATGCCACGAGACCAAAGAAATGGGCAGATCTATGATTATACAGTATGCAACACTCCAGACTTAGTCACAGAAGCATGGTTTTGGGAAAACCAAGACAAGCTGGTTTGGATTAAGGGGGTCAGATAGATCCATCAGTATAAAAATGGCATTAGGCAATCCAGAATATGCCCGGTTTATCTCAAGCTCATATAAAAGACTCCAGGCACATTCCAGGTACCCTGATGGTGCCAGGGTCCGAGCAGAAGCCTCTAGATTTCAGTTTAGCAGTTTCATGTGTTTACAATGTGGTGGGAAATGAAAACTGACCAGGTTTACTCAAAGGCAGTCATGACAGTGACCACTTCAGAAGGCTACAGGCAGGTCCAGTGGAACCCTTCCAAAGCTTAAATTGATTCCTCCAAGGTGGATAGGGATAGTCAGCCAGAGACTGTCAGTGAAGACAGTGTATGAGTTAGCATTTGCTGCTGTGAGAGAATGCCCAACAGAAACAAGTTAAGGACAGTAACCGTTTATATTGCCTCCTGGTTCCAGTCTGTTGTGATGAGGAAGGTACAGAACAAAGATGCTCGCAGAGAGAGAGAGAGAGAGAGAGAGAGAGAGAGAGAGAGAGAGAGAGAGAGAGAGAGAGAGAGAGCGCCTGTTCTCTGTCCTCTGTCTCTCTTACTCTTTGTGTAGCCCCTCCGCCATGGGATGGTGCCTCCCACATTCAGGGTAGGAGTTTCTTCGTAGACTGGCCCATTGGTGTGCTTTTCTAGTCTTACAGCACTCATACTGACCATCAAGATTGACACAGAAGGCATTATGGGAGGAAGGTCAGTTTATAAGTAACACAGAGGCGAGAGACCGAGAAGGTTCATTTATTTCACAGGACAAGATCACCCAGTGCAAGAGCAGGGGTAAAACACAGCAGCCTGTCCCGGAGAGTTCTTGTGACTCATTGAAAGCCTGCTCTGTGTTCTGAGAAGCGACTGTCACCGAGGTGCTTTACACTGTTAGGGGCAAGGCCAGGGTGTTGGCTTTGGGAGAAGTGGGTGGAGGTGAGGCACTGGAGACAGTATTAAAGGCAGGGAAACCAGAGGCTGTAGATTAGCAGGAAATGGACAGACAAGGAAGGTCACACATGACAAATGCTTCAGTTATCACCTATTAGAACTGGGCATTGATTGAATGTCAGGACAAGGAATCATGTACCCCATGGCCGGTCACACCACAAAAGTAAGCATATAACATGCACATTAGAATCAGCTATCTGCAGATGGTCTCACTGCTCCGAATCCCTCTTCGTGCCTGGACCATGTGCTTGGACTTCTGTATATTTCTTCATGTGTTTCCCACTCAAGAGCTCCAAAATAAAAAGGAAAAATGACTAAGAAGCAAAGACCTTTAAAATCTGCTCTTTTAGCTGAAAATATTGTTTAGCTTGTTGACCTGAGATCTGTTTGGATGGGATTGGATTATGTTAGTGTATGGAGAGCATTTTTCACCTTCTGGGGCTTTTTCCACAGATAGCCCTGTTTAATATCTTTTTAAGGATAACAGATGGGAATGGAGAGGTGTGCTGTCCTTAGCAAGTTGACTAGAGCTATCATAACACCACTGAGCAAAAATAGCAACCAGATAAAAGGACTCTGCTGTGGCGCTTTGCCGGCTGCAAGGATCTCAGCACAGTCTGGCTCCAGGTGCCCCTCCGAGGGTCAACATATTCAGAAAGGAGTGGAGAACTGCATTAGCTGTAGATTGGCTCATTAATCCAACAGATGCTACTTGAGCACCACTTTCTGTGGGTAATTCAAGACAAACCGTCTGCATTCTCTGGAAGCTCATATTTTAATTGGGGGAGGAAGGGGGGAAGAGAGAGGGGGAGGAGGAGTGAGACCAAGAGGAAAAAGGGGAGAGGGGAAGAGAGAGGGAGGGAGAGAAGAAGAAGGGAAGAGGGGAGAGGGAGGGAGGAAAAAAGGGCAGGGGAGAGAGGGGGAGGAAGAAAGGGGGGAAAGAGGGAGGAGGGGAAAGAGGGAGGAGGGGAAGGGAAGGGGCAGAGATTGGGGAAGGGGAAAAAGGAGCAGAAGGAGGCAGGAGGGAATTTCTGACAGGAGGAGGAAAACTAACAGAACAGAGAGCAGCTGTCCGGTTGCCTGGAGGGGACATGGCCACAGCAGGATTTTCTTGCCTGTTGTATTTAGTACCCTGGGTTGTCCTGTGGTGTGTGAAATGTGGAGTGGATTGTATTTTAGCCTCTGCTTGTATTCAGAAATATTATTTTCTATAACAATAGCAAAATTAAAAGAACAAGCATAAGAACCAGGAAAATGAAACAGCTAAGTTTTAAAAGAATTTTGTTTACATTTTCAGGTGCCTCAAGTTTTTTGAATAAACCTAAAAGAGATACTGTAGTAATGAAGGGGGGAAAAGGGGAGCTACTCCATAGATTTCGTATCTGCTTAGCAAAGCGGACTTTAATGCACTGGCTACAGCCTATGTAATACTATTTTAGAGAAATAACTCAAGTAATTATTATTAAATTAGTATTTATGAAATGAAGAGATCTAAAAATGTACAATTTAGCCACGTGTGGTGACACACACCTTTAATCCCAGCACAAGGGAGGCAGAGGAGGTCGGATCTCTCTGAGTTAGAGGCCAGCCTGGTCTACAGAGAGAATTCCAGCACAGCCAGGGATACATAGAGAAACCCTGTCTCAAAAAACCAAACCAAATGAAACCAACCAAACAAACAAAGATAAAAACATACAATTTAAATAAAATGAAATCATACTACTAATATTTTTCTGAATTAATTCTTTTTAAGAATTAGTTTTTTTATTTTATGTATATGAGTATTTTGCCTGCATATATGTCTGTGAAACACATGTGTGCCCAGTGGCCTCAGAGGTCAGAAAAAGGCATCAGATTCCCTGGAACTGAAGTTTTTTACAGATGATTGTGATCTGCCATGTGGGTGAGTCCTTGGGGAGAGCAGCAAGTTTTCTTAACCGTGGAGTCTTGTCCCTAGCCCTTGAACTAAATCTTTAGTATCAAAACAGCTAGTAATGTAAATGAGTAAGCTCAAGTTAAAATATATTAAAATGCAATAAAATACTCCATGTATAAACTGGTTTATACCCAACAAAAACTATATCTCACCTCATAATTCCCCTCTTTCTGCTATAGATTCTAAATATCAAATAAGGAAACAAATAAAAATGTCAAGCAGTCACAGAAAATGGCAACATCAACACTCAAGTTTGTAGGACAGTCCTCGGGCTATTGTTTTCTCAAAACTTTCTATTTAAATGCAAGACGCCCAGGTCCCCAGGAGTTGCAGGCATGGGTCTCACTTAAATCCAGCTCCGAAGATTATGGACTGGGATAACTGATGTCAGCAACCACATCTGAATCTGAGTGGTCTGTGTGTGTGGCCAATGAGGATCTCTCCAAATTGAATTCCACGCAGAATCTAATGTGTATCCAAGGAGAAGTAACACAATTATAATAATTTAATATGTGTCATTAATAGCCCACTGGGGCAGAGGTTCTAGCCTTGAGCCTGGCTGAACACTTTTCAGCGTGCCAACTGTTTCTCAGATCATGATAGTAAAATGTAAACTCGTGTTGGTCAGATTTCTGTTAAAAAAAAGATTTTTTTTTTTTTTATTTACACCTGTCATGTGTCTGTGTGAGGGTGTGACACATGTGTGGATGCCTTTGGAGGCCACAGGAGGGCGCCAGACCGCCTGGAGCTGGAGATACAGGGGGTTTTGAGCTGCCCAGCAGTGGGTGCTGTGAACTAAACGTGGGTCCTCTGAAAGAGCACGTGCTATTGACCCCTGAGTCTCCAGTGCTGCTCAGATTTCTCACTGCTTTGAGATTCTTCAAAGTCAGCATCCCCATTGTCACCCACACTCCGGCCCATAGGGCTCCTTCCATTTTAATATGTCACTGTTTCCCTGAGCTTTTCCTTGTCCTGTACCAGGTGCTTGAGATTCTCAACTCTCTCTTCTAGGGAAAGGCTTGGGGAGTGTCTCTGTGTTTTGTCTCTCATGACAATTTTTGTTTTGTTTTTCGAGACAGGGTTTCTCTGTGTAGTTTTGGTGCCTGTCCTGGACCTCACTCTGTAGACCAGGCTGACTTTGAACTCCACAGAGATCCGCCTGGCTCTGCCTCCCGATTGCTGGCATTAAAGGTGTGCGCCACCCGCCGCCCGGCCATCTCTCATGGTAATTTTTACTTCAGTCTGAACTAGCACCTCAGAGCCTAACCTGGGGGTGGAGTCATCCACTCATTCATTCAACTTGCGGCGCAATCCCATAATACGGGAGAAGGAAGCACCGCAGGAGTGGATCCGAAATTACCGCACAGTCTTGTGGGAGAAACCGGCCTGAGTGGTAATTGACGCACAGGAGATGACAGCTGTTCCCAGAGAACCCAGAACTCCGTGAGGTGCTGGTAGATCAGGAGATACACTCGGGGGGGGAAAGCCGGGGCTCCTCACTGATGACTGGGCTCAGAGTCTGTGCGTTTGTAACCAAAGGCACTGTCAGCACTGCGGCCGTGGGCTCTGCCAGTCACTCTAAACAGACTCATCTCCGCTGGGGTGGGAGACAATAAAGAGGAAAGTGACTCACAGTGGCGGGGGGGTGGGGGTGGGGGGGGGGATGAGTCTCCCTGTGACTCTCGAAAGAGAGGAAAGGCAGAGTCATTTTTTCCTTAAGAAACGCCCTGACCTGCCTGGTGCAGCGCTGACTCCTCTTCCCAGCTGCCCTATTTACTGACAGGGGCTTTGATAGGAAATGCTCCATGTAGCGCTTTTGACTGACTTCCTGTTAATTAATACACTACTTCCTCTTTGCCTAGACATTGGCAAGAATTTCCACGCTGAGTTGTACCTGAATTCTTGCCAATCTGTCCATCTTGCGCTGTTTTGCATAATGTGCCTTGTCTGAGAAGGTGCTTGGTCAGAGCCACTGGCTTTGGGACAGGCTTCGAGTTGACTTTCTAAGCTGTGGCTTGTGAGTGGTGGCTGTCGGGGGAGCCAACACATACTGCCACACACTGCAGTAGGGTCAGGCTGGGAGCTAGGTGGAGTGAGCACCCATGTTTTATGCTTCTGGGAGCTGTTTTCTTTGGGGGAGGGGAGGAAAGACGAACAGAAAAGGCATTTGAATTAGACGAGTCTGAAGAAGCTGGGGGGTGCCCAGTCATTTCAGGTCAGTGTGAACAACAGACTCAGAGGAGCAGGGCCAAGACTGGACAGGTCCCACTAATTAGCATCTGAAAGCGGGGTGTGGGGTGTGTGTGGGGGGGTGTGGGGGTGTGGGGGGGCAGGGAATGGAGCTGAAGGTGGCTGCCCATGGCTTCAGCAGATGACAAAGAGAAGGGGAACTGGCACACACCACACACACACACACACACACACACACACACACACACACACACACACACACATTCCTTCTGCACTCGCTGTCCTGAAACTCAAGGCAGCCATCTCCTGAATGGTGCAGTGGGTCATGTCACTGGCTAGCTATGTGGTGTGGAGAAAATCCACCCTTCCCGGATTGGTCTCCTCATGGGAAGACTGGCTTTGACAGTTTCCGAATTTTATTTTAGATGCATTGTTTGTGTGCATGTGTGCAAATGTGCAGCTGTGCGAGCAGGTCATAGGACAACTTTCAGGAGTCTGAGCCACTGTGGGTTCTGAGGGTCAAGCTCAGGGTTTCAGGCTTGCACAGGAAGTGCTTTAAACGCATGGAGCTGTCTTGTAGGCCCGAGGTTGGCCTTTTAAATTTGCAAGAGGTTGTTTTTCTTGTGCTGAAGATCCAGGTTTCAGTCCTGGCCAGAGGTGGAGGTGAGGAGAGGCTGATAGACAAAAGGCTAACTACCTGGTATGTGGAGGTCTGTTGCTTGTATGCATTCAAAGGAGCTGGGGAGCCTGCAGGCTAAACATGCCACACCTTTCTTTCATGAAAGACCCATTTTCACATTAAAACAACAACATATTGATGGTTTAAAGAGAATAAGATATAGCCCTTGCCTTCAATGATAAATTGAGATAAATGGAAAGTAACCCCAAATGTAAAAGCAGCCTGGGTACCCTCCCAGGAAATCATGACTCAGACAGTTGAGTCAGCTGAGTTTGGGAGAAGAGTTCTTAGAATCTAGAGGGGTCTGATTACAGTGTGTTGATCTATTGGTCTAGAAGCATCCACCACCAAAACACTCAGAGCTCTTCCTGGGGGAAGCAGAAGAGGATAGTCTTTGAGAGCTGGAGCTAATGAGGCCAAGGACATAGGGTTGTGTCTAGGCAAGAACCTGTTGTCGGATGTCTACTGTGTTCTCTCTGCTGGGTTTGCCCACGACTCCTCTGGCATCATCTGTGGGATGAAAGGAACTAGAGTGTCCAATAAGTGCCCTCCCCCACTGTGGCCCACAGCCTCACAGGAGCAGCTTTCCTATCCCATCCCCTCAGCCTAGCTCAGGAAGGACCCTGACAGAAACTAGGAAGTGCAGCCTGGTCTCATGTCAGCCCACAAGTCAGAGCCTGGATGGCATCTCATCTCTGTGGGGACTGAAGTAGGTTCGTGTAACCATGTCCCTCTGGGGACAGCTTGCTTTTGCTCTTTCCCCACAGTCCTTCTGGGTCTGTTTATCATGACTGGGTATTCCAAACCTGTTCCCCATCTCCAGCATGTGGGTCAGTCTTTCCTGGACTGTGATTCTAATGCTGGAAACACTGACTCTCTCAGCCCAGCTGATAATTTGGGTATCAACAGCTAAAGCTAGGGTGGCCCTCCATCCTGGGACAGGGGGGAATCCACAGTTCTCAGAGAAGGGAGTGTGGACCAAGCACTTGCTCTCAGGAGTGGGTTTTGTTCCTTTCATTACCAGAGCGCTTCTCAATTTATGAATGATTCGCAGATGGCCTGTCTTGCCAAATTATGATAGTATCTCCCTAAGGACAAGAACTAGGCCCCAGAGTCATTTCTGCATCCCCAGGGCCTAATAAGATATGAGTGCCCCTAGGCAGCAAGGGTGGGGACCCACAGTGGATCGTGTGCTAGCCATGTAGCACATCTGGCCACTCCCCTGAAAGGATGAGTGACATTCCTATTGGGCAGAGGGAATATGCATAAAGCATGTGGACTCCTTATTGGCTGGCTCCATGATGCACTAAAAAATGACCTATATCAAAAAAAGATTATGTCAGCCTCCATCCAGTTCTCACCATGAAATCCGTAAAAGCCCACTGGACAGGGCAACACATGGGTATTCCTCCCTCGAAGCCCCTCCCACTTCAGGACTCACTTTCCCAGACTGTGTCTGTGTTTACTCTGTTCATTCCTTGTCCATGGTTTCTTGTTCTTCTTGGGCATGAGATAACAAACTCAATGACCTTGGAAGTCATTGGCTTGGGGTGGCTCTGGTGGCCACTGATTTTTCAAGCACCCCAAGCCTCTAGTTATGTTTATCAAGAATCAAGAAAGTCTCCATTGCCCTTAAAGAATGTGTATCACTAGGGCTAGGCCAGGAACAGGTGTTTGATATTTAGTGAATGTTTGTAGATGGAGGTAGTGAATGAAGGATCCCGTCTTGGTCATCTGCAATGCAGATAATGTGGAGGATAAGGAAGAGAGTGGGACATAGCACAGGATTTTATTTGTAACACACTGTCTTTCCTCTGCCCTACAGAAGACTCAACCCTGCTGGTTTCACAGCCAAATGTTGCATTTATTATATATTAATTTTCTTCACACACATTTCCTGTTAATTAACACAGTTCTTTCTCAGCAGATGAGCTGGCTGGACCTGCTGAATCAGTGTATCTGCCAAACTCTCCCTCTTGTGCCTGCTTTGCATAATGTCTTCTGTGTGACTGTTTCCTAAGAAATGACACTTGGCTTCTGCTTTGACAGGAACATCTCTACCTTTGCTGATCTTTCCACGTCACAGATTTTGTTCTGTGCCCTTGGCAAAATTGTTTCCCAGCCAGTTGGCACTCTGTGGGGAGGGAGAGTTATCTGTCTCATTCAGGGATGGCAACCACTAACCACTTCATAGCCATTTTCGACCGAGTTTATTAGGGTCTGTTTACAGAAAGCCAGCTTGTCTTTCTAATAGTTTAGAAACTCACCATAGGCTAAGGCTGAGTATCCACTTCCTCTCTCACATCTTGGAGAGCTGGTATTCCAGTTTTGTTTCCTTAAAAGCCACCTGTTAGCTAATTGCTTAAGCATGATGCTCCAACTAATATTCATAAGCATACCATTCTCTCTCTCTCTCTCTCTCTCTCTCTCTCTCTCTCTCTCTCTCTCTTTCTCTCTCTCTCTCCCCCCCTTCTCCCTCTCCCTGTCTGTTTCTCTCCTCCCTCTGTCTGGAAGAGGCAAGTGACTGAGTAGATTATAATCCCAAAATTCCTCTTCTTAAAAAAAAATTAGGGCTGGAGAGGTGGCTCACCTGTTAAGAGCACTGACTGCTTCCAGAGGACCTGGGTTGGATTCTTTGCACCCACGTGGTGGCTTACAACAGTCTATAACTCCAGTACTAGAGGATCTGATGTCCTTTTATGGCCTTTTCAGGCACTACCTGCACATAGTATACAGACATACAAGAGGATGAGGCAGGAGGACTTGTGTAGGCACTTTTCTATCCAGAAGCCACTCTCAAATAAACACACTAAGGATTATATTAATTATTAATGCTAGGCTAATAGCTCAGGCATGTTACTAGCTAGCTCTTATATTTCAATTAACCCATATTTCTTATCTATGCTTTGCTATGTGGCTTGATACCTTTTATCAGTACAGCATGCCCATCTTGCTTTTCCCTGTCTGCTGGTGACTTCAGACTCTGCCCTTCTTCCTCCCAGCATTCTCCTAGTCTGACTCTCTTGACTAATCTTATTCTGTTCAGCTATTGGCCAGTCAGCTTCTTTATTAAACCAATCACAGTGATATATTCACACAGTGTAAAGAAATATTCCACAGCAGACCTCACTTTGAGGCCAGCCAAGGCTACCCTGTAAGAACCCGTCTTAGGGAAAAAAATCAAATCATACTTAAGTTATATCTCTTTCCAGTTATTTTGAAGCAAAGCAAAGTATTAATATTTGACATGCTCTTCATCTTCCTGGAGTGTGTCCTGCTGCTTTGGGCACTTAAGGAAGATGATGTCATTGCTGGTACCGAAGGTTACCCTGTATTATGGAGGACTCAGCCTGTGGCTCCTCTACATGTATTTGGCTCCAATTATAAATGCATTTGTTAAATTTCATTTTGATAAACAGAGCTTTTCGAATTTATAACCGAACTCTGGGAATTATAAAACACTAGTGTATTTTTATAGGTGTGTTGCAGATGGAGAAATTATCAGTTTTCATAATGGTTAGCTGTAAAGATCTGTGTGAACATGTGTTTTCATTAAGACAAAAAATTTTAAATCATCCA